CGCCTGCCCAGCCATTTCTCTCATGCAGGCTACAGCTTCTCCAAAACCAGTGAGCCACTCGTGGCTATTTAATGCCTTGAGTGAGAAGGGTAGGCTGAGAAGCACTCCTGTCCAACGTCCCCTTCTCATCACGGCAGCTGACGCCTGCAAAACAACGCAGAGTTCCTGCCTTGTGCCTGACTCGTGCCACAAGAGCCTGACGCTGCAGAGGGGAGGAACTGATTTGCTCTCACCCAACCTCCTCTGCCTCAGGAAACACTCTCTTTCCTTGGCTTCTCCCTCATCTCACACACAGGCAGACCCCTCAAAATCGCTCTCCTCCAGAGGGGTTGGTTCCCGTGACGAGCACGCAGACACTTACCACATCCCGTTTGGGCACGCCACTCTCCCACCGAGATGGCCAGGGCCTGGCACACCGCAGCGTACGCTTGGATGGCTTGGCATAGCCCCGTGCCGTTATCCCGCGCGCTGCAGAGGTCATAGACGCAGCTGTGGACGAAGGCGGTGGGGTCCACGACGGTGCTGCACTCCCACAGGGGTCCGCCGCTCTTGTTGATGAAGCCACAGTACTCAGAGGTGAAATAGAGAGACTCAGCGGCGGCGTCGCACAGGGTGCAGTTCTCCAAGCAGCCGGGCGAGCATTTTCGCTCGGGGTGCGGCACTCGCCAGCTCTCACCCAGCTCCGGCACAGACACGGCCAGTCTGCCGTCCGAGCGGAGGGTATCGTCCTCGGGGTCTTTGTTGTAATTCCCGCACAGACCGCACGTGGAGTTGATGTACGTGCCCGGAACGGAGACGGAGGCGTAGTGTTGTCCATCGTAGGTCACCAACAGGCCAAAGTCTGTCTCCAGGGCTGTGGACAAGCCGCTCTGGTAGACTTTTATTGCACCCAGTTCCAGAGAGATGGGTAGGGACACCACCAAGTCATCCACCTGCAGGAACAACATCATACAACTGAGCCGGCACATGGAATTGTAGAGTCCTCGTACTGGGAGCCATGCAGCCCCATTACAAGGTCTCTGGATTACGGACATACAGGGCCCAGAAATGCTGTCCCACACTCTCTGGGCTGCCATTACGGCCTCGATGGCACCTCAGAGGAGCTAACCAGGCTAATTCTCCTCTTGGAGCGGGGCTCTTACCTTTGCTTTCCCAAAGCTGTCCTTGGGGAGGACGATCTTGTGCGAGTAGACCTCCACAAAAATATCCCTCAGCCAGGAGACGGAAGAGCCGCCTCGGTTCTCGTTCTTGGCCTCCACGTTGAAGTAGGGCAGCTGGGAGCCTGGCCAGCACTGCCTGGCGAGGAGGTAGGAGCAGGAACCCTGGAAGTGAAAGAGGAAGCCATCGAAGGTGTGGTAATGTGGATCTCCGAACACCACGCAGGTGCTGCTCTCCACCGGCACGCACTGGAAGAACTTGGTCTTTAGCTCGCACGCTTCAAAGGGGCTGCAAGCCACCTCCTGGCAGAAGATCTCATTGCTGAAGTCCAGGCAGCGGCACTTGGTGGTGCAGTTGGCGTTGTCCCAGAAGATCTCCCCTTGACGGAGAAACTGTCCTAGAAAGACAGAAAGGGAAAAAAAAAAACATGCTACATCACATCTCTAAACAGAGGAACATGCTCTAACTGCACCGCGTCAGTCCTCAGAGGCATCTGCTGGCCCTGTGATCAAGATTGCTGCCACAGCATCCTGCTACCAGGCTTCTCGGCTGCTCTCTTCGTACAGACTCCTGGCAAGAGCCGCTCAGCAAAGTGCTGCAATTGCAAACTTCATTTTCAGTGTACAGAGCATCCCCTTCAAGTCCTACCCATGCTGCAAGTCCATGGGATGGCGTGAAGGCTGGCACGAGTCCCAGGTTGGTGCCACACCGGGCACGCAGGCTAACTTGAAGGGTATTCCTTCTATTTTGGACAGCCACCACCCTCGTTCTGCTTCAGTATTGTTGGACACAAGACCCGTTTGCACTATTTCCTCAAAGGGAAAGTCCACTGGTAAAGTTCAGGCCTTTTGGAGGCTTTTTTAGGGCACCGTCGCTGTACTTGTGCTGTCCTTCAGCGTTGTGGCCATCTCCATAATTCCTCCATCCACATAACTTTGCTGGTTAAAGAGGAATTCCACCATCAGTGGCACAGAAACAATTCACTCGCATTCAGAAAGTCCTCATAGTAGTTATAAGCAAGTAGTGATAAGCAAGTTCCACACCATACGCCAGAGATGATGGGAGACGATGAGTGATCGCAGAGCAGACTTGTTACACGGCCGTACTATAAAAGGATACAGGTTTGTCTGGTGAGAGACGTGAGAGGCAGAGAGAAGACAGGAGAACAAGGGTGGCAAATACCCGTGAGAGTTTCCCTCTCCTCCATATGGCCGCCTTTCACACCTCTCATGTGCGCAGCTTCCGCCATGCGCTCTGCCTGAATTCACCTCTCCTGAACTTTTTGTTCTCTTCCCTGCCTCCTACAAAAAAGCTATTTTCCTTTTTCTTGCAACAAATAACATCTCCTTTTAGGGACATCCACTTGTGAGGATGCCCGCACCAACTATCCTGGTGCTGGGGATTTCGGCAAACGAGCACCGTTAAGCACGGTGGGTCCCCTCGCCTCTGACACCTCACATAGCACCTCCTCTCGTGCAGGACGACTGGCTGTCCACTGTGAAATGCAAACACAGTGGCAGGATCTGCACATCTCAGAGGGGTGACATCGCCAGAGTCCGTTGGAAAGTGACAATCTTCTCATGCTAGAAAGGCTCCCGGCGCATGGTGGATGCTCTTGACGGTTTTATTTGTCAAATGGCAATGCAATAATCTCTCTGCAGCAGGGTCCCTCTGCAGTCACTGTGTGCATTCATTAATCCCTTTATATCCCCACACTGTCAGTGACACATGCACAAACACTGTACCTCCTGCAGGGACATGGCATTTGTCCTGCCTGAAATACCTGTTTTTCCTTCTGCAGAAACAAGAAAACAGGACCACCCCGTCACGTTTCCTACTCTGGTGGCAGGAGGAAACTGCTGTCCACAGGTCTTTCCCACTGCCACCATCGGCATTACAGAAAAGCATTAAGAGGCCAGCTTGGTGGCATTCTATTCCTGCAAAACACTCAAACTCTATCTGCCCTTCACTTCAGGTCAGGATTCTGTTTCTGGGCTATGGAAATAGAGGCTTACAGCAACACCATGCTACTAAAATCCCAGGCAGGGAAAAAACCTAGCATCGATGACAGTTTTGTTGACTGGCGCTTAAAAGCAAGACCAGGAGCAGAGAAGTCTTCCAAATATTCGTGGACTCTCTCAGCTTTCTCAGAGATAAATTCAGACCTCGTCTGCACTGAGAATTTGCTGCAAATACTTGCAAGCCGGGTCCAGCCCTGGGAGAGGCAACGCCAACCATGCCAGGGGTCAAACGACAGCCGACAACAGCTTCTTCACACACACTGCTCTCCTGCTGCACAGGATGTGCCTGGGCTGACGTGGATGACAAAGCTCTCTGTCCACTCTCCAAGGCGTCAGCCTTTTGCCATGGGCAGACTGGCAGTTATCGCTGGCAGGCAGGTGATGACTTTGTTGCACGCAGCACCTCGAAGGTGGGCATGGGACCCAAACCCTGCTTTTGCATGTTGGTGTCCCCGCAGCTGCAGCTCGAGGGCATGCACTTGGGCACCACTCCACCAGCATCCTGACAACATCACCTTTGTTACGCTGCACCCCAAAACTTGAAAAAAACCCAACGCTGTTTCCCCCTTACCTCTCAGGCTGCAGCCATTCGCTGGATCTATCTCTCTGCCGTCTATTTTGAAAACCCAGCGCCCGGGGATGTTAACATTGGTTGTTTCTTCGATATTGACTATGTCTGGGGTTCTGGAGCCTGGGATGCTAAAGAAATTAGTGATGTTTCCACCATTGAAGCCAGCCTAAAACAGAGAGTGCAAATTTTATCACACATCTTTGCTACGGGAAAGCGATGCCGCATTTCCACACTTCTCTGTCCCCCTCATATATCTATGTGCATATACATACGGGGAGCTGAGGGACCGAGTGGCACAAGTGAGGATGGGTACATCAGAAAAGCTAGAGGCAGCCATCTGAGAGCTTGACAGAGACAGGGATACGGGAGCGAGAGCCTCACCTGGGCCATCACTCCGCCAAGACCGGTCAGGGGGTCCCCTCCGCTGGCTGTCCCCGTGGTCCAGCTGATTTCATGGTAGTTAAACATGGCAAAAGACGATGCTCCATCTGTGATCAGGACAGCTTGGAAAGTGTTTACCTATTGAAAACCACGAGCATATTCACAAGGTCAGATTGCTTTTCTCACACAGCTTGCCTACCCTTCTGTCACGTTCCTCTCTGGCCTGGGCAAGACGTGGGAGCTGCACTGTGAAGAGTGGCAGAGGCTGAACGAGATCTGAAATACTCTCACACTCACTGCTGCCACTCTGCCAGCTGCTGCCTACACCTGAGAGGACGACTAGACAGTCTCTGATCGGATTTAATACCAATAGATGGCAGCAAGAGAATAGGCTTGCAGGGAAAAAGCGATCGGCAGGATTTGGGTTGTTTCAACCAGTTATCTTCCATTACCCTATCTCAGCGTTATTCCTCGCCACCTTATCTTACCCGCTTCCCTTCCACATTCATAGCCCACAATAGTGTTAACGGTGGATTACATCCAAGTCAGGCATGTATATTATGTGCTTCGCTTGGCTGCCAAATCCCCTCACTACCTGCTCAATCTGCTGCTCACTGTTCTTCCTTTCGCTTGAAATGACTCCGCGTTCCAGCCCCACTAACTCCGGATACATTCACGCGACTGCCAGCCCAGGCTCCAGGCAGAAAGGGCAGCAAAGCCTCAAGCTCTTCCCTTTTACATTTGAAGAGGTCTCTCCCCTTGAGATATTCCCTTTATCCGTGCAGACCCAGCAGCAGAGGTCACCTGGGAACTAACAGTCAATCACGTCTCTCGGCTTTCTGCATTTTTCTGTCCTTTGCGTCCCGCCCATCCCAGACAGCTCTGTGCCGGGACTGTGCCACGAAGGATGTCACTTCCAAGGCTCATTAGGCTCCTGCCATGAGAAATCTTGCAAACGGAGGCGAAGCAGCCTGTACGAGCTGTCAGGGAGAGCGAGAGGTGTGGGCAGAGCTGCCTCACGGCAGCTGCAAAAGGCACAGTTCACACGGGGGCAAGCGGGAGAGCAAGCTGAGGGGAGCCACCACTTCCACTCCTGACTCCTTTCCCTGGGATTTTAGCTCCTACGTCCAGTTTCCTCTTCACCACCTCAGCATGCTTTTTCACCTTGATCAGGTCTTTTCCCTCGACTGTGAGATCAGAAAGCACTAACACATAAAGGCAATATGCTTTGTTTTGTTTGGGTTTTTTTGTTTTTTCTTTACCTGAACCACAAACATTTCCTGGGTTGGTGCTCATGGTCAAACACGCATCGAGCCCGCTACTTATCTAATAAGGTTTTTGGAAACTGAACCTGCTTGCTTGGGTGTCATCAAGAGATGGTAACTGCAGCGCTCCCGAGGACACAGTCACAAAATTGTTTTCTGCAGCTTTTCTGCACTGCGATGAATTTCCTGCTTAAGCTGCATCGTGCTATTCCACGTGCCAAACCGGAGCCCTGGCTGCTACTGAACAGGAAGGCTGTTCTATAACAAAATAAATTGCATTGTGTTGCAAATGTAATTCTTTAGGCAATACACGAATCTCTATATTGCTTGCTGTCTGCAAATATATACATATATGCTTTTTTCTTTTTTTTCTGCAAGCACTGCCAGGACTGGCAAAACATGTGCATTAAATCTCAAGCGTCTCTAACAAATGGAAAGGAGCGGAACTGTCTATCAGAGCCAACTCCTCGAGACAGAAGTCAGCTTTTGGCACTCACGGTACAGAGCCTAATCCTAAATAACCCTTTCCCCAAACAATAGCAGGGATTCCTTGCTCGCTATCCGCGCCCCAAGCTTCTGCACAGGCCCCATCAGCAACACGCCAGCGGTTTGGCACGGATTTCCCGACACCAGCTGAGGCCGCACCTCACATATTAACCAGGTATTTAAAAGCCCTTCGTGCCTCGAAAAACATCACACTGCCACCTCCATCCTCTGAGACACGACTTGCACATTTATGGAAATGTAACAGAGCTACCTCAGCTGAGCCGCTAGCGTGACTCTGGTCAGTCTGGATCGGTCTCCCTATGCAGGCGGGTCAGTTGTCATCACAAAAATGCTGTCAGTATGCCCTTTGGTTTTCCCCTTCCTATCTCAATGTCCTCCCAGGATTTTAGTGCAGCTGGGTCAACCCTTTTCTATGAGATGCCCTCGTCGTCCTCATGGATTAATGCTGCAGAGAAAGCGCTTCAGCCTCTGCCACAGAAAAAGCCATCACGATTTGAAAGGAAAAGAGGGTTTTGCCAAATAAATACCAATTAAAACCCCCATTTTCTCCTTCCTGTCTCCAGCTCCTCAGAGAGTGGACTGCTTCCAAAGCTTAATTTACCAGACATTCCAGAGCTAGGGCCTTTTCCATCAGAGTAGCCTTCCCTCCTTGCAGACCAAAGAGCAAACAACAACTTTAGTGACTCAATTTTACAGACAAAGGCCAGAGCAGCTCCATACGTATATAACAGACAGACACTCAGCCACCAGCACCACCCACCAAGAAGCACAGCCGATCGCTCTCACCGGAGTCGTGCTGCTTCCTCCGTAGAAAGTGACTTCCTCCCAGGTGACGATGAAGACCCAGGTGGCAGAGAAAGAGTCTTTGAAGTGCTTGCGGATGTCTTTGGAGGCTCTCCGCAGCAGCTCGGGGTCCGTGCTCTCTCTGTAGTAGACTTCTCCGCGGATGCCGTTGTGCACGTCTGCCCAGAAGGGCGCGATGAAGGCCCGGCCATCTGCCAGGGGGAAGGCTTCTGGTGTGAACTGGCTGACGAGCGTGTTGAAGGAAATCACGCCGTTGTTGTTGACCTGCACAGAGACCCGCTTTTGTTTGAGGTAGCCTTTGCGGAGAGCAAAAAGCTGCTGGTTTATCAGAAAACGTAGGGTGAGTTATTTTTGGCACAGAGTGGCTTACATACTGACAGCCTGACCACCGAGGCAGATTCCTGACTTGGGTCCCTGTCTAAGGCACAGTTTTGACAGGCTCAAGTGAACCTTCTTTGAGCCCAGCCCAGACAGCTGGTGCCCCCCTTGCAAGGCTCTTGCTTTGCCATCATCCAAAACCAGCAGCAGCCTGTCCTTGTCTCGGGCACCTATGTGAGTCCAAACAATTGCCCTTTTTTTTTCCTCCCCTGCGGGTCCCTGCATGTTCTTGTTTCTTGTCATGTAACAGGAATAATGTTTCTTGTGTCAAGGCCTTAGCTTTGCTGTACCATTTAATCGGCTACAAAGAAAATTTATTGCCTTTTATATTCCTTCCCCATGAACATTAGCCCATTAAATATACCTTTGACTTTCTTAATCATAAAACCTATCAGTTCACGGAATCTAAGAACTTGTCAGGTAGGTGCTAATAAATCTTCCAACTCCTGACGATGGGGAGAGGCTGTTTAAAATGCAGCTGCTAATGGCAAGGAAAAGACTAAAGGGAAGGTCTGCTTCTCCACTTACATAAATGCTTCTGTATGAGGCTCCAAAAAAGATGAATGGCACAGAAATCTTGATCTCGGGAGAGCTTCCATCATCAACTTTGGGCGTTTTCGTGTCGTTCTGCCAGAACGGATACAGACTCGTCGTGGCGTGAGCTGGAAGGAAAGAGAGAAGAGAGTCCTTATGGCAATGTCAGGACTGGTTCTGACTTTAGAGGGGCCATGGCAGGGGCTCTGGGCTTGTCTGTCCCCAAACATTGACCTCCTGTGAAGAGTGAAAGCAGCCAAAGATTGTCTCAGGCCAGGGCAGAGGTGCCAGCTCTGGGACAGGGTCACTGGAGGATGGTTTTGACACATTTCAATACAAGCCTGACACTTTCTACTGGACTAAAATCTGTTGGCTTGAGACACAAGCAGGCACTTCTGGCCCTAGGGCACATGTCCTTTCCCATTCCAGCCCCTGACAGATCTCTGCTGTCATCTCATGCCCTGTTTCTTCTAGTTAGCTACTGGCGTGGCTCCTCACAAAGCAAATGGGGATTTTGCTGGATTTTCCTCCCCCTCCTCCCTTCTTTGATGTAGAAAAGCAGCACCCTGTCCTCACGACATTCAATCTCGGCCGATGTGAGCCACCGGGCTCTGAACAATCCCAGCTCTGTTCACCTGGATTTAGGACATGCTTTTATTTCTCCGTGAGGCTAGCAAATCTCAACATCATGGAAAACCACAGCTCGGAAGGCAGCACCCGACGGGGAGATACTCACCTTGCTGCCGCGCAGTTATCACCAAAAGGGCCACCCAGGTCCCGAGAAACGATCGCATGTTCATCCTACGGGAAGGAGAGAAACTGGGACATGCATCACATCGGTAGGAAATAGCATCCTTGAGAGAACCCTGGATGATGTTGAGCCCTGTCGCTTCCCAGCTGCTGCTGACACGCAAATGCAGACCCCAAATATCTACACCGTTAAGTGGTGCCATCAGACTTCCCAGGTGATAACAGCAAATCACCCTGCAGGTATTGTCAAAGCAAGCCTCTAACCACTTGGAAAATCTGCTGCTAATTTCACTCAGTGTTTGGAAGCTGTAAATAGCCCCATCTCTTCACGGGCCACCTATTCTCCTGACGGTTCTGAAGTAATTCCTGCCTGATCTGCTTAGTGTGAGGATGGACACTCGTGCCTGACTTCAAGGGGAACAGCTTTGCGCTGCTCCCAACGCGAGAGCCGATGCGGAGCTGCCATCGGCGTGCTCTCAGAGTTAAGGGGCTTCAGACACTGCTTCGACTAATCCTTCGTGCTGGCTGCTAACACAACGATCACTTACCATTTCTGAGGAGTGTGGAAGAAGCACAAACATTTACACAGTTGGGCAACTCCTTGCCATACAGGAATCAATGATTGAGAGAGAAGCAGATACAGGGCTGGGAAAATGAAAGCGAAATCCTGCGCCAGCTTTAATTCCTTCTGTGCCTAATGCAATTTGTTACTCATTATTAATCCAATAGAAAATATTGCTTAAACACCTGCTTTGATTTCTTCGCTTGTTGCTTCTATTCATTACACATGGGCACAGCTCACAGAGAGCTCCCAGGAAGGTATCATGTGCTCCCAGTGTGCGCACACCCACTGGGAAAGCACACAATCAGCTTCAGACACAAACTATAGCCACAGATACATTACTTAGAACCTTAGTTTCAACATCAGCCTCTCTACCTTCTCAGCTTTACACATCAGTTGTGTGAACACACCAGCTACAAAACTGAGGATCTCTTTATGTTCTCCCCATAGGTCTGTTTCTACAGTCTATGGGGATCTACAGATCCAACTCCCAAGCACACCCCCCCAGCACGCATAACCCAGGGAGCGTGCCATCATCTGTCCCACAGCACTTCCACTTGATTCAGAAATTGTGAAACACAGTAGAAGGAAATTTCCTCCTCAGCATGCCACTTGCATCAACGCTGGCCACAGCCTGCTTCCAGCAACTGTGTTCTGTGCTAAGGAAAACTCATTCCACCCCAAGAAAGTTTCAGCACATTCTTTGTCTTGGAAAGATGAAAGGAGTATGAAAGAATTTTATATGGATCGTAAATCTGAGTCACTGTGGATTCCTTAGTAGAGACCAGGCAGACAGTGACCAGTGGAGACTACGGCAGCCCAAGAACAAGACCGACTCCACTTAGAAAACACGACAGACAAGAAAGAATGCAGTATTAAACATATCACATTCAATAATACAATTTTTTTAGGTATGGGAAAAAAAATTACCAACCTGTTTTGGAGACTAGAGGAGCAATCGGGTCTGAAATTTTAGACCGCTCTTGGTAGACCAAGGAGAAATCCTATGTCAAGGGAGAATGCATGCTGGTCCTCTTTCGCCAATTATTGCTGATGACTGAAACGATGTCTCAGTCCTCCTGCTCCCGCAATTGAAAAGTCTGTCTTCTGCAGCGCCGTTCCAGGGCAGGAGAAGTGTTGAGTTGCAATCACAACTGTTGCTTCTATTGATAACCAGGAAGCTAATCTTGAGATCAGATTCAGTCTGAAGAGGGAGAGAAGTCTCTTTCTTCCCCAAAAGCTCACCTCCTTCAGGTGGATTCAGATGGAAATGTCAGCGAGCCGGAGCTGGGCTCGCAACTGCACTGTTCAGCATTGCTTTTCGCTGAAGAAAAAAAAAACCCAACCCTCAGAAGAATTGAGCCCCTTCCTCCTTTGTGTAAGGGAAAAAAAAAGCCCATCTATATAATGTTACAGGATTAGCATTAAACAGTGCTAGGCTTAAAGCACCGGTCAAAGGCACTGCCCCAGAGTTTCAATGCAGTTGCTTTTCCATCCAATTCCTGCTTTACTTTCTGTAACACAACTTACTTTTACAGGTGCAAGAGGAAAAACTTACCCAGTGCAAAGCGCTCGCTCCAAATCTGCCAGAGAGGGTTTCAATGCTGTTCCTGCTTCCACCCTCTCTGGAAGGACTTGCCGGCATTTTCACTCAAGCTGGCGGGGAATTTCACTGAGGAACTGCTGTGAGAGTTATTACCGTGTTCATTTGTACATCCTGCGTTTTCCACAGGGATTTTTCCCTGCCTCTGGCGCCTGGGCTGCGTGGCACACCTGCAAACACCCGCAGCAGCTGGAGAAGTTTGCTGCTCAAGTCCTCTCTCAGCATGATGCCCTTCTCTTGCAGGTGATTCACCCCAGCAGCCCATCGTGGGAAAACGGCCACGTTCTCACAGATAAAGCAGCACAGCCCAACCTTCCTCTTCCTTGGGTGCTCCTAGAAGTGTGTTTAGTAGGTTCACCCCCGTATCTTACCTCAGCAGTTAGTTTATCCTCCAACCATGGCCTTTCTATCAGGAAACTTTCTCATATATATTTTTAGGGGAAAAAAAAAAAATTTTTTCCTTTTTCTAAATCAAAAACTGCTTTAGAAGGGCAGGGGGATTATAAAGCACTTTTTTTTTTTCCCCTAAAAATATAATTTTTTCCTTTTTCTAAATCAAAAACGGCTTTAGAAGGGCAGGGGGATTATAAAGCACTGACTGATATTACAGGGGCAGATTGCTTCCAGCCTGCCACTCCAGGCAACCTAGCTCTTCCCATATAAATTTTAAACCTTACCAGCCACAGGAAAAATCAATCAACTCTTCTCATCCTGTTTTATAAGACAGAAAAAACTGGTTTCTCTCTGCTCCTTTGTCAATTTAATATTCTAGTCCTGGGCAAGTCTACGCGGATGAAGTTTGATTAGGTTTCACTGTCTCTTTGGGGAAGACTTTGTCTTCCAGGCTATTTTCTTCTGGCCAGGGATGCTCCCATCATGCAGTGCTGAGTCTATCGGAGCTGAACAAACTTTTTTTTTTTTCTCCTTCTAGCAGAAAATTTGCTTTCCATCCGCGACCTCAAGAGAAAACAAGCAGTAAAAGATGAGACAAGGGGACCTCCATCTGCTTGACCTTAGCAATCGTAGGCAATCCTTGCCCGCAATCCTTCTGCCGTGCCCATCAGCCAGTCCCACCGAGGACACAAGCAGGTAACAGAGCGAGCTCGAGCCTTCTTCCTCACCTGCAAGTGGAGAAGAGTCACTGCCATGGAGAAACACAGTCCAGAAGAGGACTAGGTTTTGCAGCCCGGTGACTTCTCCTTTTGACAAACGGCACCTCGCAGGAGTGAGGTCGCTGCACCCGAGCTCAGCGGGCAGAGAGCTGGCACAAACAGTCAGAAGAACAAAAACATCTGGTGGCTCTCACCTTCCTCAAGTTGCCTGTCAAACATGTGGGTGAGGCAGGGGAAAACACTCTGCTTCAGGGAAAGCAAAAGTGCAAAACTTGGGACATGTGGGGTTTTCTGTGTAAAAACTTAATAAGTTTATTGAACTGATCCAAACCAATCCCCTATTTGGCCTGAATTCCAGCACTAAGTCTGCGAGCAAACCAAAGGCAAACTGTGGGAGCGGGAAGTGCATTCTCCGTGAGAGAAACCAGAATAAAAAATGAGACAGACTTAAGGTTCTTCCTTTTTCTTTAAAATTACATACGGATGCATCACTAATAGGGAGCAAGAATAGACCTTCAAGTTTAAATTATATTTGAAGTTTCCAGTAACTGCAGAAAAGCAATCACAGAGGCAAAGGCCTGAGGTGGCAGCAGCCCCTCTAACGTTGCTCTGGGGAAGGCGTCTCTCCACTGCCTACAAAAGTGCTGTATTCAAATGAGGGAGGCACAGCTGCCAGGAATACATATTTTAGCCTCTGGGCTGCTTTCAGCACCTCGTTTGCATTTTCAAATCCACACACGAACAGAACCTACGGAATCTCATTTACAAGCAAAACCGGCACCCAAGGCAGAGCCACCGTGTCGCCTTCTTTGGATTACGGACCCAAGCAGGCGAGGGCAAACCGAGAGCCTTTCCCCAGAAACGACGAGGGCCATCAGGCACAGCTTCTCTGAGCCACCATGGGCCACACTATCATCTGCCCCGGGATGCAGGCAGCTCCCAATAAGGGGGGTTACAATCCCACGGAAGGAGCAGACGACAGTCGCCATGCCATGCATATTCATAACATTGCCAGTTAGGCGATCTGCCTGAAACATCCGGTCAAAACATGGATATTTGATAGGAATGCATCCAAAAACACAACGGCACGGCATCTAATCTCGATACACGGAGCCGGGCAACACTTTGGTATATAGCTGTCACCTCATTCCTTCCGAACCAGGTGCTTTGCCCACGGCGTGGACTGCCCGCAGCAGGCTTTATGCATGAACTATCATGAACAACAAAACAGTTCTTGACACAAGTTGCCCTCAGATAGAAGGACATGAAAGCTAGACAAGCGTACAACTCTGTTTTGTTTTCTTAAAGGAATATCACAGAACCAGCGGCTTTTTGCCAAAGCGGGTATATGCTGACAACAGCAGGACACAGCCCCCCGTGACATCACATCTATTTAAACCAAACCACCCACCCTCTCAGGACCCTCCTGGATTCTTGGCACCCACCACTGGCCCCAGACCCTCTTTCTCCCCAGGACACGATCCCCTGATTAAGCAGTAACATGGTACATGTACAAGACCCCTTCCCAAAAGGTATTACAAAAGGAAAGCAAGCCAGCTCGGGCTGTTTTGCCACACGGGTTGTGCACTGTTTGGCCCTACTTTTCAAAGTCAATCATCTGGATGCCTAAGCTGTCCCTGGGTTTTGAACACCACTCATTCTAACTGGGAAGCCAACCAAGACTTTTGTTTGCTACCCCACAAGTGCTCCACTAGCTGAGCAGAAGGTTTGAGTACTCTATCGAGAAACAACCTTCACCTGATGAAGCTGCAA